ACATCAAGGGAGGCTGAGCCTTCTCTCATAAGTCATAACCTGATAAGGCCCCTGCCCTCAGGGACTTTGCATTCTAGTGTAGGAAAACAGACAGCAAATAAGTAAGCAAATAAAATCATTTCAAATAGTGACAAGTACTATAAAGAAATTGAAAAGAAGTAAGTGACGGGGCTGGCAGGTAGAAGGTCTACTCTTAGAGAGGGGTCAAAGAAAGCTTTTTGAGGAAGTAGCATTGGGCTGGGCTTGGAATGAATGATAAGAAGCTAGGGGAACAGCCTTTCTGATAGCAAGGACCTCAGGGCAAGGGCCCTGAAGCAGGCCTAGCATGGCCAGTTAAAAGGCAGGAGGAAGAGTGGACAGGTTTCAGCATAGAGAACAGAGCCAGGAACTGTGTGAGGTCAAGAGTGGGCAGTGGCTGGGCCAGGTGGGCTTTTGCAGGCCAATGAGTATTTGTGGAATGCATTAACTCCCTGAGAAGTGGAAACCAATTTTGGTCAAATTAATTATGTAGCTATTGAGAGGGTCCTGAGGAGCTGGAGGAAACAGAGGGAGTCAGGGGTGGCCTAGGAGGCTGGAGGGGTCACAGACCCAGTCCCAGAACCTTGGCTGTGAGAATGAATTTCAGCCTGATCCTCAGGCCCTGGCCAGCCATGGGAGGGTTTTAAGCAGGGTGACATTATCTGGATTTGCACTTTAGAAAGGTAGGTAAATAATGCCTCACAAATACCTTCCATGTGTCACACACTCAAGCCTTTAATCCTCACAACCCCATGAGGTGATGGGGTGGCATTCCAGCACTTCCCCACCTCTGCCACATAACAGTGGGGATTTGGGAAGCCAAGCTCATGAGCTCAGATGAGCAGGAAATTGCCAGAAAAAAAAAACAGGCCCAGTTCCATGGTGCTCCCACAGATCCTCTTACAGTGACTTGTCTCCTCTAGGATCCCATCAGGCTCCTTGGAAAGTGCTTCTACTTCTGAAGCCAACCCTGAAGAGCACCACCACTCAGCCAGCTCTGACCAGGACCCTGTGGCAGACAGGGAGGGCAGCCCATTCTCCGGCAGCAGCCCCTTCCAGCTCACGGCCTTCTCTGATGAAGACATTATTGACTTGAAGTAACAGAGTTCAAATCTCATTTGCCATCTTTAGTTTTCTTATTGAGGTTTATACTCTTTAAACAATTCTGATGTCATTTCTCAACAAAATGTGGCTTTTAGCCTGTCAGTGATCTATTGGACCAAACCTTCTGCACACTTGGCCAGTTTGGGTCCCTCTCTAATGTCTGGTGCCATCTTTCTTGATCTTTCTTTCTGTTCAGGAACCATCAGTCCCCTTGTAATAAAGGTGGTAGATTTCATTGAGGTTTTAGATTGAAACTTTGAATAAATCAAAAATATTCATTCTTATTTACTGCAACCTTCTATTTTATATTTTTAGAGGGAAAATTATTTTTTCATTACAGCTTTGATTTATGTCACAAAATGTGTTTCTTTTATAAAGAAAAGTTATTGTTTTTTAACTTTATTATAAGTAAGTTTTCTTTCTGCACCTTTGGCCTTGGTTCCTGTTTCAGTTCAATGTGATTGGAACCAGCTGCATTCCTGCCTATAGACTTTTGATAAAAGCTGAATGGTTAGATCTTAGAAGCTCCTCCTTTTTCCCTGCATCTCATGAAAAATATTAAGGTGTAGGAGCTTGTCAGAAGTCTTCAGATTACTTTGTGTGGTTTATTGTTACTCTGCAATAATGTAACCAGAGAACAGCTACTCCTTGCGGTTAAAAGTATTCTCATTGTAATCCCAGGGCTTTGGGAGGCTGAGGTGGAAGGAACACTGAGTCCAGAAGTTCAAGGCTGCAGTGAGCTACGATTGCACCACTATACTCCAGCCTCGCCGACAGAGGGAGAGCCTGTCTCAAAAAAAAAAAAAAAAAAAGGCAGGGCATGGTGGCTCATACCTGTAATCCCAACACTTTGGAAGGCCAAGGTGGGTGGATCACCTGAGATTGAGAATGCAAGACCAACCTGACCAACATGGAGAAACCCTGTCTCTACTAAAAAAAAAAACAAAGAAAAAAAAAATACAAACATTGGCTGGGTGTGGTGGCGCATGCCTGTAATCCCAGCTACTTGGGAGGCTAAGGCAGGAGAATCACTTGAACCCGGGAGGCAGAGGGTACAATAAGCCAAGATTGTACCATTGCACTCCATGCTGGGCAACAAGAGCAAGACCCCATCTCAAAAAAAAAAAAAAAGCATTCCTAAAGTCCTCCGTCTTTTTGAGTCCCTTCACTCTTTCACATAAATGATATGAAGATAATAATTTGGTTTATCTGCCTTTCCTAGCTCCCTCTCCAGAGCAAGCAGAAAGAAATCTGGACTGGGCCAAGTACAAAAGAAATAGTGAAATGTCAGCCACTAGCCAAGGGGAGATGCAGTTTCACTAGCATTGTTTGTAAATATTTTAATCTGTGTGAAAAGGCATTTTAACTTTGGCTTTAGTCTAGCCCATTCAATTTTATTCTATCTCTTCCTGCTTTCATTACTCATCAAAAGAAACTTTCTGTTACTGACCCTGTTAAAGCGACTCTGAAGAGTTCTTCTGCAGGCTTTGTGAGTGTGGAGAACTGAGTTTGACAGGACCTTGGTCTGACAGATTTTATAGAAGTTTGGATCCTACCTCCTAGTGGGCCTTGCACACTGTGGAGAGAGCTCCCCTCTCTGTCCTTTGCACAAACAGATCAACATGATGAGCCCAAGCTGAAGGCTGCTTGGTTCATCTTTGGCAGAAGGCAAGAGGCAAGAGTAATAAAGAAGTGCTTTTTAGGTATACCCAGATGGGGCTGTTTATAACCAAATGTGCCTGCTCATATTCTTTGCAGCATTTAGCATGCCCATTTTTTCTTTGCTTTTTATGCCCTTTTCCTGTATAGGGGGAAAAAACACTGTGTCCCAACCCCACCAACAGTTTCATGAATTATGTTTTATTATTCTTGCTTTTCAAATAAGGAAACAGGCTCAGAAAGGGGCAGTCGTTTGAACCTGCAAGTTCTTTGACTCCAGAGCCCTTGCTTTCCTCATTTCTGCCACACAGAGACAGGCTAAGTGCCTTGTGTCTGTTGGATCTGGCTGGTGTTTTTCATGTTAAACTTATTTGTAAGCTTTATGAGTTTATATCTGTGTTTTTCCTTTTTCTTTCCTGAAGTGTCTTGCTTCACAGCACAGCATAAAAAAACCCACGGGCTATTTTAGAGCATTCTTCCAAATCAGCAGCATTAGAGGCACCCATAATTTGACAAGAGTCATGGGTCTGAAGAGTGATGTAGTGAGGGCAAGAGATGGAACCTACTGATCCGGCTGTTGGTGCTTTGCCTATGGAAAGTGGGCAGGAGGCTATTCTGGCAACATTATTTGTTTACAAAGGCTAAGAAGTCAGTTCTGCACGCTCATGGGAAGGGAAACCATTGGCCACAGGGTAGAAACAGATTTGTAGGAGTCCATGGCTCAGAGGGCTGTCTGGCACTGGAGCATCCTGCCTACATAATCCTTTCCGTGTACCCGACTGGCTGAGTCATAGAGTAAATCATCCAAATGCAGTGTCTGCCCATGGAGTTTGAGGCATTCATCCACTCTCCAAACACCAAGTGCCTACTCTCCAGAGGAGGTCATGTTCATTGGAGAAGGACAGAAGTAAATGGAGTATCACAAAGCAGTGATAAAGGCTGTGATAAGAATACATAACTCAAGCGCTAGATGCTGTGGAAGTACAGAGGGCAGTTGCCTAAGTCTTTTAAGATAGTTTTGTGGTCAGGGTGGAAAAATGTTGGTTGCTAGAACCATCAGGTGACTGCAGTATGTCAAATGAGTATCATAATCATACCGGTTAGCATTTGAGTGTTTCATATGTCTTTTATATACATTACCTTGCGTCACAACTCTCCTGGAAGATAATGGTCATCCCCACTTAGAGATGGGGAAACACAAGGCCCAGAGAGGGATTACAAGCCAAGCCTCTTATTTCCATGCCGTGGCTCTTTCCAGAATTATACCCACACTCCACCGCAGCTGCCCGCACCCAGAGTGTCGAGTATGAATTGGGTACAACTGGTGAGATCCAACAGTGCCTCATCATTCGGCTTGGGTGCACACGAAAAGTTGCCATTCAAATCCCCAGGGAACTCAAACTTTGGAGGCAGGTAGATGAAGATTCAAGAGTCAGGATTCCCTGTGAAGTGAGTGAAACTTAAGAGGAAGCGTGGCGCCCAGATCTGCCACACAGGTGGCGTGGGGGACCCCACCTACCACTGGTCCTCAGCACCTGTAGGTCCGAGCCTTCGGCAATCTGGAAGGCGTGAGGGTGGGTGTCGGTGTACAGGGACACGCCTTCGCCCCCAGCAGCTCAGCTGGAGCGTCTGACCAGTCTGGGCGTCCGAGAGGAGAGGGAGGAGGCCCAAGACAGTCTGTTTGGAGGATCTCTCTCCTGCAGAGCTGGGCCCAGGCAGAGGTCGGACGCCTCCAATAAGGCCTCAGGGCAGCGATTAACGCGGGGCAAGAAATGCAGACCTGACCTAGGGAGGTCTGCAGCTACTCGGAGTTGGGGGCGGAAAGTCAGGGCTGAGGTCCACGTGCTCCGCCTTCACCCGCCCCTACCCTCATTGGTCGAAGCTAGATTGAGAGGAGGTGCCAGGCAAAAAAAAAAATAAATTTCCTCCCTCCAACGTCATTGGGTAGCCCAGTCCAGAGGCTGCTCTCTGGCCCCGCCTACGTGCTCGCAGCACACTCCAATTGGGTGGTTGTGCCCCCAGACGGAAACTCCGCCCCACCTGTACTTAGGGCTGCTCCGTCCTAGGGGCGGTTCCAGCACGCTGTGCTAATTGGCTCTATGCTGCCATTGGTCTGCTTTAATATGAAGGGCGGGTCCAAGCGTAGTCGCTAACCCCGCCTTGCATTCCTATTGGCTGTTCCTCCTCTGCTGTTCCGATTTCGTCCCAGTTCCGACCCCCGCCTCCCGCCGCCCATTGGCTGCGAGAGGCCGGTGCGGGCCGCACGCGCGAGGCTGGTGTCGGTTCAGGCGCCGGAGCCGGCAGATTGGCGTTGGCCGTGGATATGACGCCCGAAGACCCTGAGGAGACCCAGCCGCTTCTGGAGCCGCCTGGCGGCAGGTGAGCTGCGGGGAACCTGGGCCCGCACGCGGTCTTGCCCTCCCGCTCCTCCGCGCCATCTCCGCTCACCCTCCACCCTGTGTCCGCAGCGCGCCCCGCGGCCGCCGCGTCTTCCTTGCCGCCTTCGCCGCTACTCTGGGCCCACTCAGCTTCGGCTTCGCGCTCGGCTACAGCTCCCCGGCCATCCCAAGCCTGCAGCGCGCCGCGCCCCCGGCCCCGCGCCTGGACGACGAAGCAGCCTCCTGGTTCGGGGTGAGGCCCCGGGCTCACTCCTCCAGCCCCGGGACCCCGCATCCTCCCCTCAGGACGGGCATCGGGCCCCTCCGCCCTCCACCCCTCCCCGCAGGACGAGCATAGAGCCCCTCTGCCCCCAACCCCTCCCCATGAGATGGGCATCCGGCCCCTTCCCCCCAACCCTCCCCTCGGGACGGGCGCTAGGCGCCGTCTCCCCTGCCTGGGGTCGCCCACTTCCCTCTGAGCCCGCGGGGTGGGCGGAGGGCGAGGACCGGCCGCGGCTTCGGCGCCTTCTCCTCAGCCGTCACCCGCCCCCAGGCCGTCGTGACCCTAGGCGCCGCGGCAGGGGGTGTGCTGGGCGGCTGGCTGGTGGACCGCGCCGGGCGCAAGCTGAGCCTCCTGCTGTGCTCCGTGCCCTTCGTGACCAGCTTTGCTGTCATCACCGCGGCCCAGGACGTGTGGATGCTGCTGGGGGGCCGCCTTCTCACCGGCCTGGCCTGCGGTGTTGCCTCCCTAGTGGCCCCGGTGAGTGTCCCGTCTCGCGAGTGTCCCGTCTCGCGAGTGTCCCGTCTTGGGGCCTGAGACCAAAGAGGATTGGGACAAGCCGCTCCCCAAATCTGGGTGAGCGGCTCCCCTGGCGGGACCTTTTGGGTGCCAGGCCTGAAGTCCCTGCGTTATCTCGTAGTCCCTCCCTTTGACCCTGGGAGGAAGCCTGCTATTACCTCCATTTACACTGAGGTCATGACATGGAGTCTTGGAAAGATGAAGTCCTTTGCCCAGGCAGTGTCCACAGCTAGTCAGAGGAGAAGCAGGTGTTGGAACCCAGGGTTGTCCCACTTAGCCGTGCCCCTCTTTTGCTCTGCAAACCTGCAGATGATCCACAGGAGCCCACTCCTCACATTATGGTTTTCATCCCTGGCTTCCAGTCACTGACTGCAATTAGCAGAAGTTCCTGTCCTGATTTGTCCTGGGGTTGCTGCTGGCCTCTGCGTTCCCCTTCCCTTCTCACAGGCCAGCCCCTCTGGCTTCCCCATCTTCCCCTTCTCCCTCTCGTGACCCAGGCTGCCCACATCTGGGTCAAATCCCAGCTCTGCCACTGGCCTGAGCAGTGCCTCCCTGGGCCTCAGTTTCCCTCTCTGGAAAACAGGGATTTTGGCATTAGCCCCTGAGGTAGTGGTCAGGATTCAGTGGTCAGGATTTACTACAATACAGGTAGTGTCTACTTTGCATAGACAGCCCTGGCATGGCTTTTGGAGGACTGGACCCTGACAACTGGGTGACCCGTGAACTGCCCCTGGTCATGGGCTTAGACAATACCTCACCTGAGTAAGGTTGAAAGCAGCCACTCAGTGCGCATCTCACCAACATTTGCTAAGCGGCAGCAGCAGCTGGACTGAGACGGAATTTCGCACTGTCACCCATGCGGGAATGCAGTGGCACAACTGCAGCCTCTACCTCCTGAGTTCACACGATTCTCCTGCCTTAGCCTCCCGAGTAACTGGGATTACATGCACACACTACCACACCTGGCTAATTTTTTGTATTTTTAGTAGAGATGGGGTTTCACTATGTTGGCCAGACTAGTCTCAAACTCTTGACCTCATGATCCACCTGCCTCGGCCTCCCAAAGTGCTGGGATTACAGGCATGAGCCACTGAGTCCCGGCGTCTTTGATTTTTTTAACTGGGCAGAAACACACCTGTGTTAGGGCCTAAGCTGTGAATAACCTTAGATGATGGGTGAGGACCTGGTGGCCTGTGGGCCCAGGAGGGAGCAGTGGCAGCCACTGGTAGTGACCGAAGTGGAGTGTTCCTACTTCTGGTCCAAGGCCACCACTCAAAGCGTGGGTCTCGGGCTAGGATCTTGGGTGGGCGTCACCTGGAGCTGGTTAGCAAGACAGAATCTTTCCCCTGCCCAGACCTACTGCATCAGAATCTGCATTTTATCCAGGGTGTCTGTGCACATTAAACGAAGGCTTGAGAAGCTCTGTGCCCACCGCCTCTCGCCATCACATGCAGCCCTCTCCATTACCCTTAATCCTCTTTAAACACCTGCCACAGATGATTCAATGGTGGGGACCTAGGGATGGCTCTGCTCACCTGGGCAGGTTACACTAAGGGCCTTCAGGGCCTGCCGTAACCCCAGTGAGGACTTTCCTCAGCTCTGAATGGCTGAGATTTTTTACTTTTAAGAACTCTTGGAGCCCAAGTAAAGCCTCATCTTATTGCTGGCAGGTCTACATCTCTGAAATCGCCTACCCAGCAGTCCGGGGGCTGCTCGGCTCCTGTGTGCAGCTGATGGTCGTCATCGGCATCCTCCTGGCCTACCTGGCAGGTATAGTCGTCATTATCTCTTGCTTCCTGTTTGTGGTCATGTGGCCATTTTACAGATGTGTAAACAGAGATTCAGGGAGGTCAAGGGACTTTTCTGAGGTCACACAGCCAGTGCCCAACGTGCCAGGCTCCAGATCACCTTCCTGGGACCTTGGGATAGGTGGGTCTGAGTTCCAGGGACAGCTGGAGAAGGTGATATCCTCCTCTTCCCTGAAGCCCCCTCTAGGGGTGTAGGAATGCCTGACTGGTTAGGGCAGTACCTTACTGTGCAGTGACAAACTAGAGGGCTCCAGGGGTGGGTGGGTCCCTGTAAAAATCTTCAGCCCAGGCGCCTGAAGGGCTGAGCAAGTACCCTTGAGAATGTCAATGCTGTATTCACCATGCTAGTGAGTTGCAATGTGAAGAAGGCCGGTTCCTGGGAACCCTGGGGGCAAACCTGGGCCAGCATGAAGAAGCTTTAAAAACAGGGTGGCCAGGCGTGGTGGCTCACGCCTGTAATCCCAGCACTTTGGGAGGCCAAGGCGGGCAGATCACGAGGTCAGGAGTTCGAGATCAGCTTGGCCAATATGGTAAAACCCTGTCTCTATTCATAATGCAAAAATTAGCCAGGTATGGTGGCACCTGCCTGTAATCCTAGCTACTCAGGAGACTGAGGCAGAAGAACTGCTTGAACTCAGGAGCTGAGATTGTGCCACTGCACTCCAGCCTGGGTGACAGATCAAGACTCTGTCTCAGAAAACAAAACAAAAAATCAAGGGCAGGCTTCAAATCTGACCGTTCTGGGTTTGGGGATAGCCTCTCCTACTTGCTGTGTGACCTTGGCCAAGTCACACCACCTCTGGAAGCCTCAGTTTCCCTGTCTTGAAATGGACATAACCTCTAGTCCAGTACCTGTCCATTAAATTAAGTGACACATGAAAAGTGCCTAACAGTGGGTTCCAAATGAGAATTGTCAAGGGATGGCCTGAGAACCACGGGGGACCATCGGGGTAGGAGGCCTCAGGGGCCTGACAGGCTGTGGACTGGCCCAGTGTACAAGCCCTCTGCATCTTCAGGGTGGATGATATACAGGTCTTCAGTCTTTCATTTTTACCCATTTAACCACCCTATCTAATTCAGAATCTTGTCTGGCTACTTTGGGAGACTTGAGTAAACCAAAGCCCCCATGTGTGCAGGCATTGACATTCATAGTTTGGGGGACAGGTACTGGGTGTCCCTCCACCCGTGGCATTATCTTCCGAGCATCTTAACATGTACTCGTTGCTTTTCCTGCCTCTCACCAATCAATTTCTGTCAGTTTTGATCGACCGGGGTGGGTGAACTCTGTTAACATGACAAAGTGACATGGTGGTGACACGTTTGCTTCACATTGGGGCAATAATGTTCCCACAACTAGACTTCGTGGAACAATTGTCTGCACCCCAGCACAGAAGAACAATAGGATATCATGTCTATCTTAGAGGTATTTTTCCACTGGGAACTGGGGATGGGTAAGCCTTAGCCTTGGGAAAAATTAATAATTAGAGCAGGCCAGGCGCAGTGGCTCATACCTATGATCCCAACACTTTGGGAGGCCAAGGTGGGCGGATCACAAGTACAGGAGTTCAAGACCAGTCTGAACAACGTGGCGAAACCCCATAATGTCCATGTCCCGTCTCTACTAAAAGGAAAAAATTAGCCGGGCATGGTGATGGGTGCCTATAATCCCAGCTACTCAGGAGGCTGAGGCAGGAGAATTGCTTGAACCCAGGAGGTGGAAGTTGCAGTGAACTGAGATCATGCTATTGCACTCCAGCGTAGGTGACAGAGCAAGACCTCATCTCAAAAAAATAATAATTAGAGCAGCAATGCCCTAGATTCATTTATTCCAAGACCCCTTTGTAAGAGAACCTTTTGACTTTATACAAGGCTGATGATTCAGCACTTATGCTGTCCTTCATATATCAAGACAGCAAAATCCTCTCACCTCTCTACTTTCATGTATACTTTGAATAGATAGTGCATTCAAATGATTCAGCACTCAAGTGCCAGAGTGGGGAGATGTCCAGTGAAAAGCGTCCTCCACCTCTGTCCCTTTCCTGTCTTGGGGAGCCTGCATTGCCTGTTTCTTGGTAGCCTTCAGAGAGTCTGTGCATATGAGGGATACGCATATTTATCTTCCCTCACCCACCTCTTGTACAAATGGTACCATATCATACCACGTGGATATGCAGCAAGCATTTCATCCTTTGTTTCATGGCTACATAAATGTTTCGCTGAACAGACGTAGCCTAGTAATGTCCACGTTGCCATGCCCACCATCACTTCTACAGCTGGTGTGGTTGGCCGGTGCCAGGTGCCTTCATGAACAATTGTGGTAATGTCAGTAGCAAACACGAGGCAGATGTGCAGAGGCAGCAAGGCCCCATCTCTAAAGCTGAGTCTTTGAGGCTGGCAAGGCCCAGGCTGGCTTGCCCTGGCTCTGATGCCAGCCTCCCCTGCCCCCCTGCAGGCTGGGTGCTGGAGTGGCGCTGGCTGGCTGTGCTGGGCTGCGTGCCTCCCTCCCTCATGCTGCTGCTCATGTGCTTCATGCCTGAGACCCCACGCTTCCTGCTGACTCAGCACAGGCGCCAGGAGGCCATGGCCGCCCTGCAGTTCCTGTGGGGCTCCGAGCAGGGCTGGGAAGAACCCCCGATTGGGGCCGAGCAGGTGAGAAGCTGGAAGTCAGAGCAGACAGGAGTGGGACAGCAGTTAGGGGAGGGTAGCACAGCCTGTTCCCAAGGCCACACACCCGGGAGGGCAGGGGACAGGGAGGTGCCTGTCCACCCTCCACCCTCAGCGAGGACAGGCCCAGAGTTGTCCTGTCTTTGAGCAGGCAGAGACAGCTGGAGCCCCACGGAGCTGGTCCCTAGCCTCCGAGGTCACCAGCAAAGCTTGAGCCTTTATACTTATTGTCCCAGGAAGAGAATAGCCAGGCCTGGTGGGGGAAACAGAGGCAGAGCTGAGGACTTGGATTTAACAAGGGAGTTGTAGGGCAGGGGAGAGGGTTAAGAGTCTGGTTTTACAGTCACCCAGCCATGGGTTTGAAGCCCCTACCCTGCCCCTTACCTGCTGTGTGCCCTTCTGGTCTTTAAGCCTTAGCTCTTCATCTGTAACTTGGGAGTCAGAGTACATGCTTCACAGTGGTGGGCAGGGCTCAGTGGGGAAGGTGGGGCTTGGGAGGGTGGGGCTTAGTGGGTAAAGCGGGGCTTATTGAGAAGGGTGGGGTCAGTGAGGAGGACACAGGTCTGTGAGGAGGGTGGGTTCAGTGGGAGGGGAGGGTCAGTGGAGACGGCCGGGTCCAAACCTGAAGCAGGTACTGGATGTGTTGGTGGTGGCAGGGATGAGGGCAGCAGCTTGCCCTTTGCCCAGGTCACCTGTGTGTGGCTCCCCGCACCTATCAGAAAGTGCCCTGGGCAGATGAGGGTCTTCTCACCTGACACATGGGGAGGCTGGGACTTGTCTGCACAGCTGAGGACACAGGGGGCACTAGGATGAGCCGAGACTCACTCTCCAAGCCCTTAGGACAGCGGGCCCACAGAGGGGAGCCCCTTGCAGGAGGGAGGAGAGAGATCCTGATGGCCAATCTCCGTCAGAGCAGGGCTTCCACCTGGCCCTGCTGTGGCAGCCTGGCATCTACAAGCCCTTCGTCATCGGCGTCTCCCTGATGGCCTTCCAGCAGCTGTCGGGAGTCAACGCCATCATGTTCTACGCAGAGACCATCTTTGAAGAGGCCAAGTTCAAGGTAAAGGGGCCTCTGCCTGGCCTGCCTGGTCTAGCCCCCACAGAGATGGAGCTTCCTCCCCCAGCCTAGGGCCCAGCCACCCAGCACAGGCCTGGAGAGGGAGGGACCCAGTTCTCGGCTGACCCCCCTGACACCTTGGCTCCATCTCCCCCAGGACAGCAGCCTGGCCTCCATCATTGTGGGCGTCATCCAGGTGCTGTTCACAGCCGTGGCGGCCCTCATCATGGACAGAGCAGGGCGGAGGCTGCTCCTGGCCTTGTCAGGTGAGGGCTTGACCCTGTGCAGGATGGGTGCCCTGGGCCAGTCTCCCCACCATGGGCTAGAGGGCCTTTGCCAAGGCCACCACATTGCAAAAGGAGGACAGGGGGCATTTGTGATGACAAATATCGTGGACTAATGCGGCCATGATTTGATGGCAGCTCACCACCAGGCACTCACAGCAGGCCTGTCCACGCTAGCACTGCTCCCACACCATGCCTTTAACCTCTGTGGCGAACCCACTAGAAGGCACCATCACGGGCCCAGCTTATGATGGGGAAACTGAGGGCCAGGAAGGTGAAGTGACTCAGTGTAGGGTACCCACACGTTGGGAGCCAGATGTAGGGCTGTGGAGGCCCCACAGAGTTGTGGGGTGTCTACTATGCTGTGTTGAGGTGCAGGATATAAGAAGTAAAGAGACAGGACACTGAAGAACTGGTGAAGAGCATCTGGACTCAAGGGGCCACACCACCTGTGAGCGGAGACCAGCGGTGGTGGCCCCCAAATGCCCCAGAGCATGTGTATTTATTAGGTACAAGCAGGGGGCAGGGTCGAGAGTGAGGCCATCATCTATAGGCTTAGTAATAGGGCATACATAATCACGTGAGTTACAAGGGAGGGGACCACCCCATTATGTCCCCTGGGCGGGGGGGGGGGGGCGTGCACAGCAGGGGGCTGTGCTGTGTGCAGTAGTAGGGGGTTGTTTACAGAAAAGGGGTCCACCCCCATTAGGTCACAGAGGCAAGGAGGTGGGCTGTGTGCAACAGGTGTCGTGTGCAACACTTCTTATCTGGGGGCTGGAGACTTCAAAGGATTTCTAATAGAAGGATACTGTAAGCCAGTGCAGTGGGAGCTGACAGATTTGTGCTCTTCTCTTAGGATATTTATGGGAGGATTCTTTGAGCTAGCACAGAAGCGAGAAAAGACTGACAGGGTGTACAGCCGCAATGACTGGTCACACCAGAGTGGTTCTTCTCCCTCGGTTATTTCCAGGATCTCAGGCCCGAGGCCTACTTTCCACAGGAACTGGATGCAAGGTACTACAACTCCTTTATCAGGAGGAGAGGTACTTGCTCCAAGCCTGCCATACAGCGTATGCCCTTTCAGGCAGGGACGCCACCGCCTGGGTCTTTGGTTCTCGTCCTGGTCTGGCTGTTTTCCCATGTACTGCTTCTGTTCTGTGACTGCTCTAGGCATTCCTCCTACTACAAACTACTCTATGGTTATATGGAAGGGTTCTATAAATCAGCACTAAATGTGTCAGTACAGCTCCGGCTACAATACCTATATGATTATATAGAAAATTATATAGAACTAAGTATGCTAGATATATGTAAACAGTAAGTTACACTTCAAACACTAATTCTATAAACTAACATATGATTATATATGAAGGATTACATAAAGGAAACAGCTGAGCAATAACACTATAAACTAAGATATTCTTCAGGCACTAATTGTACCTGGCGTCAGGACAGTTCTCCTTCCTTGGTGCCCATGGGGGATGTTACCCACAGCTCAGGAGCTTGTGGTCCTTTTGGGCAAGTGACTTTACCTCTCTGAGCCTCAGTCTCCGCCTCTGGGAAATGGGGGTAATAGCAGCACCTCCCTCAGCGCTATTGTGAGGAGTGGCAAATGATCCACGTGAGGCCTTCAGCAAGAGCTGGGTACAGACATTTGGTCCTCAGGGGCTGCTGCAAGGGCGACCGTTGGGGCTGGGGGTTGCCTGCTGCTGCTGCTGCACCCCTGCTTCCTCAGGCCAGAGGGTCTGCTCCAGGAACTTTCTGCAGTTCACTGAGGTGAACTTCCACGGAGGGATGGCTGCCACCCAGTCAGGGCTCCTGGGGCCAAGGTACCAGAATACCAAGCTGGCCACTCTCTGGGAGCCAGACCCCCCCCCACCCCGGAGGTGTCCAGGCCACACTGCTGTACCCTGGGCCATTCTCCCAGCGCCGTGCCCACTGCTGCCCTCCCGCCTACAGGTATGGTCATGGTGTTCAGCATGAGTGCCTTCGGTGCCTACTTCAAGCTGACCCAGGGTATCCCTGGCAACTCCTCGCATGTGGCCCTCTTGGCACCCATCTCCACAGAGCCTGTTGATGCCAGCGTGGGGCTGGCCTGGCTGGCCGTGGGCAGCATGTGTCTCTTCATCGCCGGTAAGGGGCCCATGGGAATGGGAGGTGATCCCCCAGCCCTGTTCTGGCGGTCCTGGACAGCTGGGGTCTTCCCCAGCTCACCTCTCACATCGTAGATCCCAGGCTCTGCATTGATAGCTCTGACCACACACAGATGCTGAACTAGGCCACTCTGCATTCCTTTCACTGAATCCCCTGGGCAGCTCTCTGAGCAGGCCCCATCGAAGGCCCATACTGGGATCCAGGACCCCTCAGCCCTACAGGCTGGGAAACTGGGTCTCTTGGCTCTGCGGCGAGCCAAGGAGCCCAGCCCTATGGGCCCTGACGCCTGTCTCACTCCTGCAGGCTTTGCCGTGGGGTGGGGGCCCATCCCCTGGCTCCTCATGTCAGAGATCTTCCCTCTGCACGTCAAGGGCGTGGCAACAGGCGTCTGCGTCCTCGCTAACTGGCTCATGGCCTTTCTCGTGACCAAGGAATTCAGCAGTCTCATGGTGAGCACAGCCCTCGGCCAACTGCATGTCAGAAAGAAGCAGTTTCTAAAGCCACTTGTATGGCAGAAGATTCAGGGGCGGGGCCATACACGCAGGCTGAGCCCCACCATGCCTGGGCCACTGGCCATCTTGGGCAAGGCAAAGTGGAGGCAGATGGGCTGGGCCAGATGGGGAACCCAGGCTGTGACCCCTCAGGAGTCCTTGCCCATCTTGGCAGTCAGATGGCACAGCTGGCCTCTCCCCTTAGAGAATGTCAGGAACACAGGCCTTGAACCTAAGGTCTACATGGGAAGAGCTGACAGGACTGGGCTCCAGCCCCACCCTGGCTGTGTGAACTTGGGTGTGATGCTTACCTTCTCTGAGCCTGCTTCCTTGGCTGAAACTGGAGGAGAGTAACAGCAGCTTGCTCTCAAGGCTGATGGGAGCATCCATCCAGCTCCTCATTTTGTTGCTTTCTCGCAGTCCCAGCTGACAGAGATGGCTCTGGAGTAGATGATCTGGTGGTTTGTTCAGTCATTTGTGCCCTCAGGTCTCCTGACATGTGCCATGTCCAGCCCTATTCAAGGCACCAGGGACAGCAATGAACAAGATAGACAGAGTCCCCTTTATGACAGGGGCTGGAAAGGCCATGACAATGGTGGAAGAATGAACTGCAACGGGGCTGGGTTAGGACGTAGTGGGGTGGGTCAGTGAGGGGCCAGCCTGGCGTCTGTACAGAGCCTGGCACCTACTAAGGGCTGCCCCGGGCTGATGCCTGGGGTAGAGATGACTTGCTGGGAGCTGGGAGGGGATGGGCAGCAAAAGAGGGAGGAAAAGAAGCCAAGAAGGAAGTGACAAAGGACCTAACAGTGACCTGGGGAGCCAATGTCCAACAGGCCAGGAGAAGGCCTTCAAGGAGGGAGAGATCACCAGGTCCCAGAGGAGGAGGAGCTGAGAAGCACCTTTTTAGTTCTGGCATATGGGAGATCACAGTGGTGGGGTATGGGGGGACAGGCTCTAACCGAAGGGGACGGCTTACTCCTGCCTTCATGCCACTAGCCCCAAGAGTCCCCATATGCTCCTGGGGCCATGCTCACTCTGCCCTATCTCACCCATTCCCATCACACTCTGAAAGAACCCCCCAGGGGCCTCAGGGTGGGGCCAAAGCTGAGGGTGGAGGGTGGGTCTGTGGGCCCTGGAGTCAGACCTGGAGCAGGTGCCCAGCTGTTACTGGATAGCGGGTCTCTGGCCTTGAGACAGTCACTTCATTGCTGTGAGCCTCAGTTTCCCAAGCCATAAGACCTCGATACCTTGCACAGTGCTTGGCCCAGGCCACCAGACTGGATGCCAGATTATCCTCCAACTTCCCAGAGCTGGATGGAGGCAGAATGGGTGTGGCCTCGGGCAGGACAGGCTGGGGTCAGAGGACTGGACCCCCTGGTGGCAGAGCTGCCTCAGTGATTGCATGGGGCCTCCTGGTTTCCCCCCACATCCACCCATGGCCTTTCCTCTCTCTGCAGGAGATCCTCAGGCCCTATGGAGCCTTCTGGCTCGCCTCCGCCTTCTGCATCATCAGTGTCCTTTTCACCTTGTTCTGTGTCCCTGAAACCAAAGGAAAGACTCTGGAACAAATCACAGCCCATTTTGAGGGGCGATGACAGCCACTCACTAGGGGATGGCGTGAGCCTGTGACTCTGGACTGGGCCCGAGCCCAGAGCCCCTGCCTGCCCCAGGGGAGCCAGAATCCAGGAGCACAGCCCCTTGGAGCCTTGGTTTGCAGGGTTTCTCCTTCGTGTCGAGCTCCCTCCAGCCCCCAACCTGGAGCTAGGAGGCTCACCGGCCTCCTGTTCCAGTTCCTGCTGCTGCTCTGCGGACTCGGGATCACCTTGGAGCTTTGCAGACCTGCAGTCAGCCCTCCACACGTGACGCTAAAACAGCAGAAGGGGAGGTGGGCCTCTGGGATCTTTGTCTTCTGGCTGGAGGTACTTTTGGAAGTTGGGTGCTGGGCACCTGATCACTCCTCTCATGTGGCTGCCTTATTGGGAAGGAACTTTGTTTGCCAAATAAAGATTGACATAGAAAATCAGGTCAGTGTCTCTGGGCTCTTTGTGTGAGCTCAGTTTGAAAAGGGTTTATTCTTTATTCCCATGACTTCTGGGACTAGACGCTACCTAGGACACCCTGTGGATTTACTTTCTCATGGCCAGCCAAGCTTGCCCTTGGCACCGAGAAGTAATTTCTGGCTCCTTCCTTGGGCTCAGTTCCCTGAGTCATCAGCCATCAAATCTTGTCGAGTTTAAAAAATAAACAACAACAAAGAAACCTCTTGTTCTTTTTTTTATAATTTTATTATTAATTAGCTAAGTAATAAGTGTTCATTTTAGGAAAATTAGACAACATTTAATTTTTTTTTAGTATATGTGCTGCCGAAGCGAGCACTCATTTAATTTTTTTTTTTTTTTTTTTACTTTTTTTTTGAGACAGTCTCACCTGTTGCCCAGGCTGGAGTGCAGTGGTGCAATCTCGGCTCACCACAACCTCCACCTCCCAGGTTCAAGCAATTCTCCTGCCTCAGCCTCCTGAGTAGCTGGTACTACAGGCGCACACCACCATGCCTGGCTAATTTTTGTACTTTTAGTGGAGACAGGGTGTCACTATGTTGTCCAGGCTGGTCTTGAACTCCTGATCTCATGATCCACTCGCCTCGGCCTCCCAAAGTGCTGGGATTACAGGCGTGAGCCACCGTGCCTGGCCTAATATTATTTTTATAGCTGTTAACCAGCTGCTAGGCACTGTCCTAAGCACTTCACAAATATTAACTCATTTATTTGGATAAACAATGATATAACTATTTTCAGCCACCCCTTTGCAGAGATAACATCCCTGTTGAGATTTTGTTCTGCCAGGCACAGAGGCTCACACCTATAATCCTAGTGCTTTGGGAGGCTGAGGTGGGAGGATTGCTTAAGCCCAGGAATTTGAGGCTGCATCACTGCACTCCAGCCTGGGAGACAGAACAAGACCCCAACCCCCACCCCACCCCCCAAAAAAGATTTTGGTTTTATCTTGAAAGAGCTCACTTCCAACACACATGTTATCCTGCAGCCCCAGCGCCTGCCCATCTTGGCATTTCCCTTTAAGTCACATAATGAAGGCAGAGAGCAGGGGCCTATTTTTGAGGATACAAAAGGTACAGCATGGACCAGGCAGAGCAAGGCTCCAGATGAGATCAGTTTCTAGATCTGCAGCAGCTGCTCTTACTTCAGTGAAATGTGTGAAGCCACGCACAGGACCCTGGACAACACTCAGCTGTAGCAAATCCAGTTTCCCTGAGGGCCTTCCAGAAGCAGGGTCCTGTCTCTGAGCAGGAACATCTCCCCTGGCAAAGGCTGCACCTTGACAGTCGCATTCCCAACACTTGTGTGGCAGGCAGTCCACTAATCGGGTGAGAACCATATTGCTTTTTGCATCTCAATGTAGTAATCTTAGCAAATTGTCAAACACTTTTTTTCCAGGCTGGTATAAAATTGTATGTGCTTTTGTAACCTTTTAACAACAAAAGTAAAATACAAAAGGGCACCAGGCCTGGTGGCTCATGCCTGTAATCCCAACACTTTGGGAGGCAGAGGTGATTGGATAACCTGAGGTCAGGAGTTCAAGACCAGCCTGACTAACATGGTAAAACCCTCGGCTCTACCAAAAATTACAAAATTAGCTGGGTGTGGTGGCACATGCCTATAATCCCGCTACTCAGGAGGCCGAGGCAGGAGAATTGCTGAGGCAGAGGTGGGAGAATCACTTGAACGTGGTAGGTGGAGGTTGCAGTGAGCCAAGATCATGCCATTGCACTCCAGCCTGGGGGACAGAGCGAGACTCTATCTCAAAAATAAAATAAAAATCATTAGAGGTATGTTCTCTTTCTACCGGCCTTGTGCCTGGAGGTTATGGATTTGGGGCTCTGGCTGCTCTCTTGCCACCAACTGGAGCTTCAGACTGAAGCTTAACATGGGCCGAACCAAGCATGTAGGAGATATGGGGAGGTGGGGGGAGATGCTGAGGAGATGAGGAGGAGGCAAGGAGTAGATAATGGGGAGATGATGCAATGGGATGAGATGATGGGAGGTCGGGGGAGATGATAGGTGGGGGAGATGCTGGGGAGATGATGGGGAGGTGAGAGGAGATGATGGGGAGGTGGGGGGAGATGTTGAGGACGTGGGAGGAGATGATGGGGAGATAATAGGTGGGAGACATGCTGGGGAGGTGGAGGGAGATGATGGGGAGGCAGGGGAGATGATGGGGATGTGGGGGAGATGATGGGAAGGTGGGGGGGACATGATGGAAAGGTCGAGGTAAATGATGGGGAAGTACATATCAAAATGTGAGGAGAGCTGCCCCGCCACTTTAATTTTTGAAGCTGCCTTGAGAATAAGCTTTCTGGGTCCAAATGATCCTTTGCTCCAGCAAAGCCACTGATAACATGGCTTTAAGTTAGTAATATATAAAACCCAGACCTTCTTTATGAGTGTGGGGAGGAAGTGTTTACAACATTGTGGTTACATAAACATCATTACTGTAAACCCAGTGGAACGGACTCAAAGACATAATCCTATGTCAGCCTGTATTATTCAAAAAGGAATATTCTAAGTATCAAGATAAAGTGGATTTTTTCTTATTCTATGTCAGTTATTTAAAATAATGCCAGATTTGGATTTGTACCTTATTTAAGACATGAGAAAATTAGGTTTCTTTTTTCCTGGAGTTTTTGTCTTTTTTTTTTTTTTTTCCTTTTTGAGAAACAGGTCATTTTCTTCACCACTTGACTAAGGTCTTTTCCTTCTGTAATACGCCAGCTGTCTTCTGGAATCCATTTATTTCTCCTTGCTGACCTATTATTTGGGGGACCTGCTGCAAAGCTGTGATAGTAGGTTTCCTTTTCATTGAATTCTTGAGTTAATTTCTCTGTTTCTTGGGTTCCACACCTTGCTCCTTGGATTCCATTTTAATTTGCAAGGGTACACCTTCACAGGGCTACCATGTCTGATTCCACTAATTTTTTCAGGACAGGTACAGAAGGAGCGAGTTTCTGCATGCCTAAAAAGCCTTTATTTTACTGTCACTTTTTTTTTCTTTTTTGTAGAGACAGGGTCTCACTATGTTACCCAGGCTGGTCTCGAACTTCTGGCTTCAAGTGATTCTCCTACTTTGGCTTCCTAAATTGCTGGGATTACAGGTGTGAGCCACCGTGCCCAGCTTACTGTCATTTCTGGATAGAAGTTTTGTTGTCTTTTTAAACACCCACTGTGGCTAATGAAAAGTATGTTGCCACTTAATTCTTTTGCAGGTTAACTATTTTTCTCCTCCAGTAGCTTTCATAATTTTCTCTTTGGCAATGTAACGTTTCGTAAGCATGAATCTAACTGTACGTTTTCATTTATCCCATTGTAACAGGAAAGGGGTCCCAATCCAGACCCCCAAGAGAGGGTTCTTGGATCTCATGCAAGAAAAAATTCCGGGTGAGTCCATAGAGTACAGCGGAAGCAAGTTTTTTAGAAAAGTAAGGGAATAAAGAATGGCTACTCCATAGACAGAGCAGTCCCGAGGGCTGCTGCTTGCCCATTTTTATGGTTATTTCTTGATGATATGCTAAACTAGAGGTGGATTATTCATGTCACCCTTTTTTAAACCATATAAAGAAACTTCCTGAGGTTGCCATGACATCTGTAAACTGTCATGGCGCTCGTAGGAGTGTAGCAGTGAGGACGATCAGAGGTCACTGTCGTCACCATCTTGGTTTGGTTGGGTTTGGGCCAGCTTCTTTTTTTTTGAGATGGAGTCTAGCTCTGTTGCCCAGGCTGGAGTGCAGTGGCGCAATCTTGGCTCACTGCAACCTCCACCTCCCAGGTTCAAGCAATTCTCCTGCCTCAGACTCCTAAGCAGCTGGGATTACAGGTGCCTGCCACCACACCCAGCTAGTTTTTATACTTTTAGTACAGACAGAGTTTCACTGTGTTGGCCAGGCTGGTCTTGAACTCCTGAGTTTGTGATCCGCTTGCCTCGGCCTCCCAAAGTGCTGGGATTACAAGTGTGAGCCACCGCATCCAGCCTTGGGCTGGCTTCTTTACTACAACCTGTTTTATCAGCAAGCTTTGTATGACCTATACATTGTGCTGACCTCCTGTCTCATCCGTGACTTAGAATGCCTTAACTGTCTGGGAATGCAACCCAGTAGGTCTCAGCCTCATTTTACCCAGCCCCTACTCAAGGAGAAGTTGCTCTGGTTCAGACACCTCTGATACCATGCGATTTTGAATCTCAATACTTTCTTCTGGGAACTTGTTCTTCTTTTACTTCTTTATTCTGACATCCCAGCCCCTGATTTTCTCTGTTCTCTCTCTCTGAAATTTCTAGTAGATACTATACTTCCTGGCACAGTATCCTCCCTCAATTTTTTACTTATATACTTTCTTTTTTTTTTTTTTTGAGATGGAGTCTCACTCTGTCGTGTAGGCTTGTGTACAGTGGCACAATCTCAGCTCACTGCAATCTCCGCCTCCTGGGTTCAGGCAGTTCTCTGCCTCAGCCTCCCAAGTATCTGGGATTACAGGTGCGCACAACCACACCCGGCTAATTTTTTTTTTTATTTTTTATTTTTAGTAGAGATGGGTTTCACCATCTTAGCCAGGCTGGTCTTGAACTCCTGCCCTCGTGATCCACCCACCTCATACTCCCAAAGTGCTGGAATTACAGGTGTGAGCCACCACACCTGGCCGACTTATATACTCTTTTAGTGTCTCTGTATTCTAGGAACTTTTTTAAACTTTATCTTCTAGCTCTTCTATAAAATGATCTGTTTTATTAATCATGTTTTAACATAATTTTGATCCTTTTAAATGTATTTCGACCTATCTTGGTGAATGTTCCATGTGCAACTGAAAAGAATATGTACTGTGCTGTTGCTGGGTGGAATGTTCTATAAATGTCACTTAGGTTAAGCTGTAATAGTCTGCTTCAGGTCTTCTGTATTAATCAGAGTTCTCCAGATATTAAACTAATGGTATGTGTTTAGGGGGGTGTATGTATATGTAGA